ACCATTTTAAGTTCTGTATGACAATACTGTTATGCTTTGTTTTATTTTATCTTAAGGCGTTCGAGTTCGTTTTAGTTAAGCATAACTGCTTGCTTATTTTCTTGCAAAGATATATATATATATATAACAACAAAAAATAACGAGAGAGAAAGAGACAATCACCGATACGAAAGAGTTATAATCAACTACCTAGATGACAGGATGTAACAAATACGAAACTATCAATAGTTCTGTCCAACAGTACTGAAATTTTGAAGGTTTCCGGAAAAGATTCAAAACCATAAAAAGTTCTGTGTTGAAGAATACTGAACCGAAAGGATTCTGCACAATGACACTGAACATGTTAAGATTCTGTGAAATAATGCCGAACCATTAAATTTCTCTAGTCAAAAGTATGGAACCCGACAGGTTCTGCCCCATGATGCTGAACTTTGCAAGGTTCGGCAAAAGAATCCTGAACCATAAACCGTTCAGTGTGCAATAATACTGAACCAGATATAGGTCTGGGTAAAGATGCGGAACCATAAAATGTTTTCTATCCAAAATGGGAACTCAAAAGGTTCTGTCCCATGATACTGAGCCGTTTAAGGTTCGGGAGAAAATTGTTGAACCATAAAACGTTCTGTTTCTGCAATGATACACCGAAGAAGTTTTGTACAATAAGACTGAACCTTGAAAGGTTCTGTCAAAAAATGATCCATTCTGAAAACAAATTCTCTACCCAAAAACACTGAAGTGGAAAATATTTTCTCATTTCTGTTTAATTCTTTAGGGTTTCATAGTTCAAACGTGCTGCCATAAAAGGCTTTGAGAGACAAAGTATGATGAAAGATATATTTATTATGAAGTTTTTTATCAAAATATCGGCAGAAAATATTTTTTCTAATGTAATTTAAGGTATATTCACTACAACTTTTTTATTACGTACTTTCTTCTTTCTTTTATTTCATGATACGTTGTTGCGCTCTAATGTCTACTTTTTCATCGCTTGAGAATGCTTTTTGCACTCAAGTCATTGAGACGGGTGAATTTTCTTTTCTTCTCAAGTAATTTTACTTTTGGTTTTACATTTTCACCTGTTTGTTATTCCCGAGAAAAGATTGAAACAAATCACCATAGTTTTCTCAACGCCTTGCTAATATTTGCTAAATCTGGTAAATATCTATAAAGGCAAATAATGCTATCATCCATATTTAGTAATCCAACTGCTTTGAGATATATTACGCCTACTCTCACAATTCGACGACTTTAGCAAAAGCTCCAATAATATTTTTAAGTATCGTGTGCGTCGGCTATATACGATTTATTATCATATTATCGTTGTCTATCGTGTTTGTTCTAAAACACTCGTTAACGTCAACAAAAGAAACCATTCAATTAAACATTGAACACTATGAAATTATTCAGCCATATCATACGCAATTGATGTGCACACATGTCGTTGAACTTCACATCTTACAAATAAGATAGAAGATTTAATGAAATCCATGTGAATCCTAGGATATAGTCCTAAACATATACTTTCACGAATACACAAATAATCGTATAGTAATAAGGAAATCCATATAAGTTTATTAGTATAATGATATAAATAAAACGGTCAAGATATAAGAATGCAATCGTAAAGGCATGCTGAAGATAAAAGAATTGTAATGGTGTAGATATCAAGGCACGAATAACGAGGTATAGCTATAAGATGCAGTATTAAGGCTAAAGAAATAAGGACGTAGCTATACGGCTACTCTCTAAAGCTAACTTGTTGGGAGACCGGCCCGAAAATTCCGTGGGCCGAAATTCGTGTAACCCACTTCTGGTTTCAGATGATCATTATAACTGATTTTTTCTTAAAATCACAGGATCGAGCAAAAAAAAACCTATAGTAATTTGTCTTTTTTTGAAATTCTTCAAATAGATTGCATCCAAACAGTAAGTTTCATTTCAGAATACAAATCTAATATCAAAATTTCTTTTTTTTTCGTGTAGCTTTTTACAATTGTATCATTCGAAGGGTAATTCACATTGAAGAATTAACAGCTAATATCAAGATTTCTTTTTCTTTTAGATTCATTCAATACATTTTTCTAATAGTAAGTTATATGAAAGAATTAGAAAATTATATTAAGTTTTTATTGTTTGTTTTAGATTCTTCAAATAGGTTTTATTCAAATAATAAGCTTCATTTAAGAATAAAAAAGTTATATAGGAATATCGATGTTTTTCTCTTTTAGATTTTTGGAATGAATTTTATTCAAAGGGTGAGTTACATTAAGGAATCAAAAACCTAATATTAATTTTTCCTTTCTTTTAGATTCCTCAAATGGATCTCAGCGAATGGCTAAGTTACATATCGGTATTTGAGAAATAACGATGTGTCATTTTGATGTTTTTATGATAGATGACATGGGTTTGACATCTGTGTGACTGCCGATATTTTTCAGATCCTTCATTGCATTCCGAGGTTAGTGAGCTTTGAAACCTTTTCGCAGTTTCTGATATTACTTTGTGAGAAAGTACTGTAACTATTTGTTTCGGTTTAGAAGACTTTGAACACCAATATTCGGAAACTCTGAAAGGTTTTCAGACATGCCAAATTGGAATGGCTCTAAAGTTTTCCCGGAGCTACACTTTTTTAGGAAATATACAAATAAGGCTATAGTTGTAACGGTATAGATATAAGGATATATTTTAAGGATATATTTTAAGGATATATTTTAAGGATATATTTTAAGGGTATAGTTGTAAGGGTATAAATATAAGATTCAGTAATAAGGCTATAGTTTAAGGGTAACGCTGTAAGCGTATAGATATAAGGCATAGATAAGGCTATGGACATAAGAATACCGAAATATGGATACAAAGATAAGGGAAATCCCAACGGTAAACCATTTAAATCATGGAACACCTTATACGCAGGACAGAACCTTTTTTGAAGAAAAATCACATATGGTTTCGTTATTTCTTTACTGAACCTTTTTTCAGGCAGAACCTTTTTCGAGGGTTCTGCGTTTTACCCGATACCAGAACACCTAAAGGTTCTGTATAACTCCTTTTTTTCTTTCCGAGTTGAGAAAGAAATTTATTTAAAAGAAAAATAATAGCTTTGCTCACCCTAATCCACTCTCTCCCGCCGACTTCGCGGGGAGTCCCCGCAAAATAACGAAATCCGTGGGGAGTCCCTGTCGTGAGTCCCTGGGGATTTCTCTGGGAAGAATTGATGAAATTTTTTAAAATTGAGAAAAAACTTCACAATTTTTTTAAATTTTAATAAATTTAGATGAGTTTATTAGTAATTAGATATTTCATCGATTTTGGCCAGATAACTTCCCGGGGAGTTCCCAGGGAGACCCCGTAAAAGAACGAAATTGCTAGGGACTCCCTGAGGATTCTTCTAGGGATAGTTGATTAGGGCAGTGATTGACACTCATAAAATTGTATTAGTGAAGAAACAATACTTCAGGCGATAGATAAAGATGAGATTGAGAAAACAAGTTGATATTCTGCAAGCGACAAGGATCGTCTTCTACGGACTATACGACATCTTTAGAATGATGTCATAATATCCTTACACCCGGCAACCACTTTTAGTACTAACACGATAGAGTATCCAAATGTGTATACACTTAATGCGGTTACATCAGATTGTAGCTGCACTAAGAATGGATACTCCATAAGTGACTGCTGCATGGAGAATTGTGGCCTAAAACTCTAGATATCCAGATTATGGGTATTGTGACGTCTACTATCCGAAATAAAATACCACACTGAATATGTATAAATTGTCGATAAATTAGCAAAGATGTTATACATATATAATCATATTATTGTATGAGAACAAGATGTACAAAGCCAGATAGCACTTTGTTTCGACTTTTATATTATAATTAGAAATATTTTAGAAAAGCCAATATTTTTCTATTTTTATTTTGTAGAGTTTAACGTATGAGTAGTTAAAAATCTAAGTATGAAGTTTGACACTTCTTTCCAGTCGAGTATTTCTTGAGGGTGTGGGTATGGATGTTCATGTGGAATGTATATTGTTGTGTTTGTACAACTAGGGCGTGCTCATCCATATCCATGCCGACACAGATCCACGCACACCCACACCCACACCCTTTGATTATATTTTTTCATTTCTCTCTTACCGTTCCCTACTATCTTTATATCTTTTGCTTCGTTCTATTTCTTTCTTCCTTTAAAAAGCTGCACAAAAATCACATGATCAGTCTTAGATTGTTTTGGTACTTTTCTGTTGCTTTGATAACCTTAGTTAATAATTGTGATATCTTTCTTCCTGATCATTTGATTTAGAGTCACTCCGTCGCTCCAACTTCGTTTGTTCAGCTTAAAAATGTCAACTTTCCTTACAAAGAAGGAGCCAAAATTCTCTATTATTTCTTTTCATCTTGCTCCAACAGGCGTCTCATCTCTTTCAAAAATAGGATCTAATGGTTCTAATTGTTATGTCCATGTGACTCTGATATGGGCACTGTATAAGTAAACATCATTGTTGTTCAAAGTCTATAAAGTAAATTCACTTCATTATTTGTCCCTTAATGGCATCGTCATATTCTTCTTAGTGTGTAATTTGATATGATGCTTGAAATAATAACTGTCTCACTAGTTCCTATGAAACTTGGAAACCAAACAGACTCTGTCAGCCTTATCGTTCACTCTCACAAAGATATTAGCGTATTTGAATGTTTTGAAATATCTATACCGAAAAACTACTCTGAAACGTAAATATCGACACTATCTAGCTGGAAAAATAAGGCTCTGATATAAAGCGTTATTTACGTGATCAATTTGTCTTATTTGTTTTTTCCTAGATGGTTTTCAATGATAGTTTCTTCACTTCATTTCATCCTAGCTGATCGTATTATTTACGAAAAGTTACTGACATTTCTGTTTAGAAAAATACACGTCTTTTTTCTTTATATACCTGTCAGTTTCACATAAAACCATGCACATTTCTTTTTTTCTTCATATAGAAAAAAATTAAAATGACTTCTAATAGTGAAAGTCAAGGCGAATGGTATACAACTGATTGTGGCAGAACGCAATTTACATTACCTGTACGATATCAAAATCTTGTTCATATTGGATATGGAGCTTCTGGTACTGTAATGTAAGTTGGAAAAACTCATTTTATTCTATTTTTGGTACTCATCTATCATTATTATTTAGTCGTGCTACAGATACAGTATGTCTGATTATGAACATGAAGAGAAGAAAAAACGTATAAATTTATGCTAATTTAGGAAACAGGGAAATATGTTGCGATTAAAAAAATCTTCCATCCTTTTCGAAGTCAAATGCATGCAAAACAAACTTATCAAAGACTTAAACAACTTATGTATCTTAATCATCCTGATGCACAAGTTTGTTGAACTCAATCTTTCTCTTTCTTCAAATGTTGTCTGTATTCCTACAACTGTAGGTTGTACAATTGTACAATGTGTTTACACCAGAGAGAAATATCGATGATTTTCAAACATTGTATGTTATGAAAGTATTTCTGTTTGATGAAAATGTTTGTCTGCTTGTTTCTCTTGTTATCCAGATACTTTGTGCTTAATTATGTTGACTATAATCTATCTCGAGTTATCAAACGTAATGTGCCGTTTACAGAAGACCAAATAAAATATATTATTTATTCACTTCTTCGTGGCTTAAAGGTATAGGTTCATCCCTCTCTCTCTCTTAAAGACCTATCTACTTCCACCTCTCTTGTTTTCTTTTTGTTATGTAGTTCATTCATTCAGCTGGTATCTTTCATCATGTAAATAGAAGCAAGAAATAAAATATTGGTATGCTAGAGATTGCTTTTTGTTAATTATGTTAAAATAGGAGTTGAATCCAAGTGATATTGGAATGGATAAAAATACAAATATTGCAGTAAGTCATTGAATAACAAACTATGCTGAGTAATCATCTGAGGCATTATTTTCTTTTATTGGACCATAAATTTTCCCCCTAAAAATTCACATTCCCTCTACCACGTGTACTATTTATGTCTTAACCTTGTAATATTTTGTTTCGCTCTGTATGTGTCATTTTCTCTTCGACGGAGAATATTTCGTCATAATAAACGCACAGTATGCAAGAACATATGCACAAAGATCTAGAAGAAAATGACGAATATTCATTTCGATATCAACGAAGTACTTGAATTGTTTTTTCTCGATCACCAGTTGGATGCTGGCAAAGAATGATTACACCGATTGATGTATGATTAGAAGATATTATAGATAAATGTATTAAATGTCTTTGTTTGCTGCCGTATCTCAACTGAGTGAAAGCCTAAAACATTTACCTGGTTCATACTATAACCGATATAGAAGAATTTTCTGATAAGCAACAAGAGAAAAATAGTTCTATACTTTGTCCGACCTATTCATTTTTAGAACTCCTTCTACGGATATATATATATCACCATCTGTGCAAAATTTCTCAGCCATAACTTACATTCTCGAAAAACAACCAACAATACGAATTCTGTTTTTTTTCTAAGATACACAGTTGTATATATCGATAAAGATTCAAAATAACAGATTATAATCAAGAAAATCTCGCTTCTACATACGCTTCCTCAATTCACGATAGATGACGGCGTTGTAAAACTATTTGACATTCGTTTTTGATTTTGTGAGACATTATTATCTCATTCCTATCGATATTTTTTTTCTATCACCACTCTTATACTTTTCTAATTCCAAACTTTTTATACGAAGATAATTTAAAAAAAAATTTATCAAAGATATTCAACTGTGAACATCGGCATGCTGAATATCTCTAGACCTCGCCGATTGTGATATCTGCTTATCTTTATATATTTGCTTCACTTGAAAGATTTCTTTATTCGCTGTATTTTCTTCTATTTTTATACAGTTTTTTGAACGTGGTTTGATGCATAGGACACTGGATCCTGAGATTCGTAGTCATATTCAATGCAGGTTGGTCACGAATATTGTTTTCATTTTAAAAATACAGGAACTTTCTTGCATTAGATGGGGGCGCGCACCTGAAACAGCACTTTGTGAGAGATATAATGGTGATAAAATCGATATATGGTCCACCGGTTGTATAATGGCAGAACTCATCCTGCTTCGACCAATTTTTCGTGGAACAGATCTTCTTGATCAGTTCGACAAAATATTTGATATTATCGGTACACCAGACTTAGCAATATTAAATGATATATTCATACCAAGTGTGTATCAAAACGAAAACATAGAAGAGATGACATAGTTTATATTTATGACATAATTCGACAAATATTCTATATTAATCATTATTTTAGATGCAACTGCTTATATTAGCCGATTGCCGCCAAAAACAAAAAAAAAGACTATAATGTATTGTTCGGATTCAAATATGATCCAGTAACAAAAACACTGACATCAGGTGTATCACCAGAAGGTACATCTAGAGAAATAAATCACTTTCATCTGTTTAAAGTGCTTACAGGTATTGATTTCCTTGATTGTCTGCTAACTTTTGATCATCGTACACGTCCAACTGCTGAAGAAGCTCTATGTAAAATATAATCAGAAAATCATAGATTTATATTGTTTTCTATCGTGTATTTGTTGTTTAGCTCATCCATTCTTGAAGACTTTCCATGACCCCATGGATGAACCAACTAAAGAATTTTTAGTTGATGAACATCAGGCTAAAGTATATAGTACAGCAGAATGGAAATGTAAGTCATTTAAATAAAAAGAATATCGTTGCTAATAGTTGAATATTTCTTTTTCTAACCATGTTTATGCTTTACGTTGTTAGTTGTGAACAATTGATAGAGATAATTTTGATTGATCTTTTAGTTGTAATATAAAATTATTTGACATAATTCTTATTGTTTTAGCAATAATATGGCAAATGATAGAAGAATTTGTACCACCATCTTGGATTAATGATGAAGATGATATTGCTGATGATTGATGAAATATGACAATAAATAACATAAAAGTATAAATCGTTCCAACTTTGAAATTTTCAAAACATATTGATTTATGTTTTGTTTTGTTTTTGTCGTTGTTCTATATGTAATCATGAATTGTATTTTTTTCTTATTGCTGTATTGGTGCAGCAATCTATTCGTTTTTACCGAAATATCAATTAAATAGTGCTGAAAACTTGATTCTACGTTGATTTCATCAAGAAAGACTAAATTAACATTAGATTATTTTTCTTAGAAAATAATCAATAGTTTATCAAAAAAGTAAGCAAACTCTTTAATGTTGCATATCAATAGGAAAAACATTCGTAATGAAACCTTGAAGATACGAAGTATTCGTCAATAATTGTTATATACAAAAAGAAAAGAATTTCATTATGCTGTATACAATATTCATTTAACAAATGTTTATCATATACATTTATCTATTAAAGTCAATTTCTGACTGTGATGGTTCTTCATCTACATCAATCGATGACAAGTCATCTAATGAATATTAATACAGAAAGGTTCTATGGATCGTGTTTGAACTGTTTTAAATCATCCAGCAATATCGTTCAAAATGGAATTCATATAAACCTTTTTCGTTCTATTAAAAAACTAATATGTAGGAACTCGCATGTGCCCATTAGTCCTATTTTTCACATTTCCTAGGCAAGATGTGACTAGAAAAAGATGCTTGTTAGATGTATTTACGAATATAATAGTTTTCTCTAGATTGATATTGCTACACCACCTGTGATTTGAAGCCTTTTCATTTTCACACTGTCGATGAATTTACGGAAGGATTTTGACCAGTTTCTGTGGTTTGGCAGAAAATTATACTTCTAATGTTTGACGTCAAGTCCTATGAGGATTAATACCGACTCTTTGAAAAACATAATTCCAGTTTCATATAAGCAAATAAAGACATTCCACGAATATACATATATTACTGCGTGATAAGAAATATAACCACATTCTTTTATAATCAAAACCCATCATCTATTACCATTAGAAAAATAGCTGCTAATAACGAATTACATGTCAATCCAAACAACTGGACTCTCTGTCGATGAATCTTTTAATAACGAATAACCATTGAATTGGGCAGGTTGTGAATAAATTGCTATTAAAAGTATTGTGCATTTGATTGTATCTACAGGATCAAATGGAAGCTTGATAAAGAAAGATAATAAGTTGAATTGGATAAAAATCACTAATTAAAAACCAATGAGTCGATGTGAAGCTAGCACGAGCAGGTTGAGATAAGCTACGCACACTTTTCTTCATTGCAATAAAAATAATTTAAGTCTCTATCATCTGAGAAAGGTGGCGTTTGAAACAAGAACATGCGCATGCGTGTGCATTTAAATATAAAAAGAATAAATGTTAGAAAAACTTTTCAATTGTTTTGACAACAATATGACATGAATAAAGTCATTAAACTAAGGATTAACTATTGATAATGAAAAGTATATTTTTTATTTAATGCAAAAAATTCTTATCGAAGTATATCGTCAATTTAATAGTATCAGACTCAATGAGTTATAGTTGAAAAATGCCTATTTTTTATTATTTACATATATTAACCGAATAACGGAAACTTGAATGAATGCAAATAAATTAAAATTTTTTCTGGATCCCGTTTTTCATGATTTAAGAAGCATCACTTGCGTAGTTTTTATCAATTCAGTCATAAAAAAATGCGTTTCAAATAAGTTTACTATCTCATTTGGTTGATCTTAACAGTTACCAACAGCACTTGATAAGAAATCTAATCGAGAGAAAAAATAGCAGCGCTTATATCATTTTTTATACCCATACGCTTGTATAGATCATTGTGGTTCTGATTAAAAGTTTCTCTCATGCTCTCCACAATCAGCCGTTTCCTTTTTTTTGATTAAGAAGCTACTTTTTTTCTGAGAAAATATTTCATAAATCAATATTCGAGAATTTCTTACTATTACTTTTCTTTCTTGCGATGATAAATTTTATCTGTCGTCTATTGAGTTTTATTCGAACAATCAAACATGATGCAACCATTAATGTAACAAATCGTACAATCAATCACGAACTGTTGAGCTCCTTTTATACTGAAATACTTGATCTCAGATGGGTGTGGACAAAGAGAAGAGAAAGATTAACACTCACACCCAATACATTTTTACTAACTTAGCTGCTCTTTCATAATAACCAAACTTCTATTTTATTGTTTCTGAAAATAAAATAAAAGAGATCAGAAGAAATTTCGTCACTACTAATGAATCAATCAAAAACTTGAATAATGTTCTAAATAAGTTGAACATACTTCCCAGCGTTGATAAAGATACAAACGAAACAGTGCAACAAATTGTAAATATAATAAATCCTTACAATAGACCAATTTTTATGCAATTCAATAATTCTATCACATCCTGTATTTGCTAAACTCATTGTACTTTATCGTTTGGTTCTGAAAGAATGCTGATAGAACTATTCCTCATCAAATGAAATAATTCATGCCTATGATTGGAGTCTGAAAAACTCCTGTAGTCTTGTTTTTTCAAATCAGCATAGCCAGAAAAGTGCCTCAGATTTCGGTAAAAAATATCTTTAACTTGTTTTCAAGATAACATTATTTCTTTGGATGGCTTGTTCATTTTACACACTTTCAAAGCTGACTTGAGTATATAGTTTGTTGTTCATGATTTATGTAGATCGTCTTTATTCCTTGTCATATGACTGTAATCATTGGAAGCTCTTTCGAGAATATCATCAATTAAGTGCACATTAATACAAATCTATGAATAAATTATGGACTTTAATTAGAACCAATCTATAAGTTAGATATTTCTATAGTCACCAATCAATCATTCAGAATTGTATCATACACAACATCGAGCAAGATATATCTTAATTTATTCCTTCAGCATCTAACAATTTGCCTCAGCTACTACCTCATAAATACTCTTTTCTGAAAATGAGCCTTGAGATTAGACCCAGTCTATGTCAGTTAAACTTGTTTGCATCAATTTTATGACGTACCGCTCAGCTTTCACCAACCTATTCAATTCGGGTCGTTTGGATGTATCTATCTGTTGAAAATTTCTTCTGTCAGACACCCTTTAAGATTTTTATAGGCTGGATCCGCATATCATCATGCGTGCAATCGAATTCACGAAAAATTTCCATATAATATGTTCAATTGACTTCTCGTTTGTGATGAATTATCGACTGCTCTATATTAACAAGTTATAGAAATCGTCTTCAAATTTTCTATAGTAGATGTGTTGTCTTCATAAAACAAGGTTAAATGCTTTTAATAATCAAAATCATAGAAAACTATGTACAAAAAATAATTACAACTAGTTCCACTGTAAATGGATTTCGTTCATGACACGTTTTATGTTAAAATCAAAGAGTAAATTTTCATTGTCAATCATGTTTTTTATTTTTTGCACCATTAAATCATCTGCCATTTCTAAACAAAAACATAAAAATTGAAGTGAACTCTTAGGTTTCATCATTAAATGCAATAAAATATCTCGCACGAATGATTCCATATCAACAGATTTCATCAATTTGACTTTGAGTTGATTAATACACTGGAAAATTTCCATGAAGAAATAAATTTCTTCTACCAAGAAAACAGTACTAAGATAAAGTTTTGTAATTCGATTTATTGCAACTAAATCAAAAAGACTTTGAATATCTTCTAAGAGCGGATCATCTGAACCTGCATATAAGAAACGGTATATTTCTAATGAATCAAGTTTAGGTAACATTTGTAAAACATTGCTTAATTTATCAATACTAATTTGGCAAGTAATGTCCAAATGATAAATATGTGTTACAGTTAGCACGTGATGAATGTAATTTTTTACGGTTAATGATTTGCACCACCTTTCTTGATACGCATCCGACAAAACAAGTCGCATGGATTTCGACCATTCATCGAACGAATTCATCGTGTTACCTTGTACGTTATGTTCATACCATCGTTTTCTAAAGAAGACGAAAAAATGATTATTTTAATGCAAAGCATTTTTATTCAATTTACTTGTATGGACGGATTGAATATATTATATTCTCAAATTCGATTTCAGTATCAAGTATCCATTGTCTTTGAATCCAAAATTGAGACATGAATGGATTTTGTGCTCCACTGTATGGTGGAGTTTGATAGCTACTATCAAGAATTGCTTGAAATTTGAAATAAAATTCTTCCAGTTGTGTTAAATTTTGCAAAATAAATTGTTCCCATCGATCAGAATTAAGATAAGACATATCGTCAACGATAGTAGTGAAGGATAAAATTTTCAACTGTGAACAATTGAATTTCTTAATGAATATCTCGAATTCATCAAACATCATTTGATAGTTATTTATTGAAAGATGTGTTAAATATGGAAGTGTAGCCGGTTTAATGGATTGAACATCTGAATTATTTCGATATAGATTCAAATATTTCAAATAACGAAGATTTGGTGTGTATGATAGTAAATTCGAAAGTTGATCGTAAGTACAAAAATGATCAATAATAAAATATTCAATAGATGTGGCTTGATCTTTAGTAGCGGCTGGTAATGACATTGTTGTATTAGAATCATCGGAATCCGGTGCCATATATTTGATGCATTTTAATTGTGGAAGACTGAAAATAAATTGATAAAAAATACTAAGATCTTCTAAAGTAGGCCATGCATCGATTTTCAATGAGAAAAGACGTGGTAAAAGAGCCAATTTTGGAAGAATTGATAGAAGTAAATCTGGTTCAATAGAACCAATCTCAAGAGATTCAAGACGATTAAATGATGAATCAATATTAAAAGACGAAACCATTGGATTGTTTTTGTCCAATGTCCATATACTAATGGAAAATATTTGTTGTTTATTATGAAGTATTATTTTATTATAGCTATTCATCGTTATCTCGTTTGGTTCTGAAAGATGAACTTGAATTTTGAGTCGAAGCAACGAAGAACTGAGAAGCTGTTGAAATCGATGATTTAGATCCGAAAAT